TAATAACCACAGTTTGTCATTTTCTAGGCTGTTTGATGCTATTGTTATTGCTAATTGTACCACTTTGGCCAAGGTGATATAATTGTTCTAATCAGTTGTTCTTCCTGTATGCCAAGACTGAGATTGCCTAAGGATTATAAACAATAGTATAGTCCAGTGCCAAAAAAATGGGGGCTAGCTCAAATAGGCAGCAACTTCTTACCCCCAATAAATTGAAGAGGCAGGATCTTGCAACAGATTCAAACCCCAAATCCAGTTATACCTGAAAGACATCTCTGAGAAATAGTCTTTTTCTAAGGATTCTAAATAACAGCAGTAAAGGCACTTGCTTTATATAATCTATAAGCATCAACTCAGGAATTAAATTAAAATAAAAAAAGAAAATGACAAGACAAGCAAGATGCAGTCTTAAACTTCCAGCTCACCAAAGGCAAATCCAAGGGGCAATGAGGTGGAACCGTTTGAAACTCACACACCTGGATTCTCTGAATTGGTAACAGAGGAAGTACTAAGCAGATGAATGAACTTCTAGAAAAAATCAAATCAAAAATGGTTTCTCAGTTTTCACAGATAACTACAGAGATGGTGACCACAATGAAAGTCATAATTAGTGACTCTAGAGCAGATACAGATAACAAAAAACAATAAAGGAACTTAGGAAATAATGGAAACCATGAATGTCCAACATAGGAAAGAAATGGAATTCATGAAACAGATTCAAACATCTATCCAGGAGATTAAAAATTCCATCCAAAATATACCCAGTAGAATGAGCCCATGTGAGGACAGAATGTCAGATATAGAAGACAGGACTGTGGTTAGCAATCATGAAAAGAAAGATTTCTTAAAAATGGCAAGGGACCATAAAAAATTAATCCAATAGCTGCTAGATAATGCAAAGAAGAATAGCAAAATTGAGGGGTCAGGGGTGTGGCTCAGTGACACTGTACCTTCCTGGCAAGCACAATGCCAGTTCCCAGTATGGGGGTGAGGGTTGAGCATAGTGAAAAATATAGGGGATAGTGCAAATGACATAAAAACCATGTTCACAGAAGTAATGGCAGAAAAATTCTCAAGCAGAGAAAAAAAAATTTGACATATAGGTGAGGCATAGAGAGCTCTAATTAGCCATGATAAAAATTTTTTTATACCAAGGCATATAATAGTCAAGATTCCAGAAATTCAAGAAGATAATATTAAAAACTGTTAGAGAAAAGAAACAAATCACCTATAAAGGAAACTGCATCATAATAATAGCAGGCTTCTCAACGCAAACCGTTAAGGCAAGGAAAGCTTGAAGTGAAGAATTTCAAGTCCTAAAAGAAAACAACTTTCAACTCAGATTAATGTACCTTACAAAACTATCTTTCAAATTCTATGGAGAAATGATACTTCTATGACAAAGAACACAAAAAAGAAATTCATGACCATGAAACCAGCTCTATAAAATGCTCCTAAGGATATTTTAGAAAGAGATAACAAAGACCACCATTCCAATAATGCCAGAAGAAAGAAGCCACCAGGCAAGGCAAGCAGTTAAACAGAGAGGAAAGACAGTGAAGCAACAACAGAATAACAATAAGACAAGGATAAGCCAATGCTTATGAGCTATAACCATCAGTGTAGATGGTCTCAATTCAATCAAAAGAAACATTGGCAGAATGGATCAAGAAGCAAGATCAAGGCTAGGGATTCAGCTCAGCGATTTCTCTGCCTGCCTTGCAAGTGCAAGGACTCAAGTTTGACTCCTGGTACCCCCTCTCTCAAAAAAAAAACAAAACAAAAAAAACAGAAAAACAACAAAAAAAAAACAACAAAAAGAGCAGGATCCAACATTATGTAGCATATAAGAAATGCATTTAATTAAAAAAAGAAATGCATATACTGAAAGTTAAAGGGTGGAAAATAATACTCCATGTGACAGAAGCCAGGAAAAAAGCAGAGGTAGCAATTTTATTTGCAGACAAAATGAATTTCAAGCCAAGACTGAAAAAGAGAGACAAAGAAGATCACTACATCCTTGTAAAGGGAACAATCCAAGAGGAAGAGATAAGAATCATTAATATATGCAACAAAGATCAGTACATACAACTATATGAAAGAAATATTAAGGGACATGACAAATCAAATAAGTCCTAATACAACTGTAATGGGGGAACTCCATGCCCTACTTTCACAAATAGACAGATCAACTAGATTAAAAAATGAACAAAGAAATATTACAACTGAACCAAAATTTTGAATAAATGGATTTAGTAGATGTCTACCCAACAATATCAGAAAACACATTCTTCTCAGCTGCACATGGGATATTTTCCAAAATAGGCCACATCCTAGTTCATAGAACATGTTTAAGTAAGTGCAAAGGAATTGAAATTATCCC